TTGATGCATGTGAGAATCAACAGGCTCCACTTTTGTGGGTGTGAGGAGCACAAATGTCAGGCGATTTGAGATATTGAGAGGAGGGGAGGATTTGTGAAGGGCCAATTTATGCACTGTTATCCGTGAAACCTAACAAGCTGTTCTGTCTCAGCTGCACTGGGATGGAGGGTTGAACAAGCCCTTTCTGTTGTTCTGACACGCAGACTCTAGTTTCGTCCCCTCCGTTTTCAACGACGAAATTATTTTGTATTGAGCACCTACTATGTGACAGGCCTTTACATAGAATTGCTCCTTGGCCCTCACAACCACCCATCTAATCTGCTCTTTGCAAATGTGACTAGTCTCCTTGCAATTCAACCCCAGGCTGCAGGCCTAGTGGCCTTTCTCTGCCACGGCGCAATCTTGGAAGCGACAACTGCGGAGGGCGCGGAGCGTTGCAGTTCCCGCCGCGCCCGCCCGCGGGGAAAGCAGCCATGGGGACCAAGGGCTCGCGCCGCGGGGGGAGCAACAGCTGTCGGTGTCGCGCCCGGGGACTGCGCCCCCGCGGGGCCGACCCGGCGCCGGGGCGAGAGGAGGGGCGGTGAGGGGCGGGGCGCGCGGGGCGGGACGGAGGAGGGGCGGTGGCCCCGGCGGCTCGGGCTCGGCGCGCCGAGAAGTCCCGCTCCGAGAGCTGCGAGCGTCTGGGAGAGGCGCGCTCCACGCAGCCGGGAGTAAAGTCCGGAGCCAGGGCCCTTCGCCGCGCCCCCTCCCGCCAGCGTCCATCCAGGGAGTCCACGGCGCCGGCGGCGGCCGCCGATGGAGTTCACTTGAGCCGCGCGCGGCGGGAAAGGCAGGCGCCCGCGAGCGGAGCGCGGGCCGGAGCCGAGCCAGCCCCGGGCGCCCGCCCGCCCGCGAGCTCCGGCCAGGAGGCGCCGCCAGCGCCGCGCAGCCCGCCCGGCGCCCCCGCCGCTGCAGCGCCTCCCGCGCCGCGCGCCGGCGAGATCGGCTCCAAATAAAGACTCCCGGAGCGGTTCCCTCCAGCGCCGCGGTGGCGGCGGCGGGCCCAGGAGCAGTCGGCCCGCGGCGCTGCTGGAGAGGCGGGACCGGCTGTCGGGGAGCCCGAGGCGGCCGCCGGGGAGCCGCCGCCGCCGCCGCCGCCGCCGCGCGCCCTCCTCCTCCTCCTCCCTCTCCCTCCTCCCTCCCTCCGCACATGGTCTCCTTTGTCCTGTCGCCGCCGCCGCCGCCTCGCTCCTAGCTCCGCGCGCCGCGGCGGCGGCTCGGGCCGCTCCTCTCCGCCTCGCCCGCCGGCCCGGGACGCACCTCGCGAGTCCCCGCCCGCCGGCCCGGCCCGCCGCGCCGCAGGAGCCGCAGGGAGCAGCGGGCGAGCCCGGGCCGGGCGCCCTCGGCGGGCGCGCTCCCTCCCGCCGCCCGCCAGGACTCGGCCGCGCTGGATGTGCGCGCGCGGCGCTGGCTCTCGGCCGCCGGAGGCTGCTGCTCCGGTTCGGATTTGGTTCGCGTGCATCCGCTTTCAGACTTTGGCGAGGAAGGAGCTGAGACTTGCGGACGGAGCCGGGCTGGAGTTGGGCGTTTTCTCTGCGTGCGTTTTGCTGGCTTCACCCCGGGCTCTGGTGATCACCCATGAGGAACCCTGCTAAGGACCCAAACCATGAACTTGGGGCTGACAGGACTGCTTAACCCCTTGCGACCAGGTAATGCAGCCCGGGGGGCGCGACGCGCTCGCCTGCTAGCCGCCCGCGGTCGGGAGGGAGGCGGCCGGGTCGGGGGTCTTTTGTTGCGCGGCCGGGCCCGCGGGCAGGAGTGGCAGGGCGGGCTGCTCGCGGCCGGCGCGCCGGAGCCCCCTGCGCCACCCCTCCTCTGCCTCCGCGCCCTCCCCCCGCGGCCCGGCGCCCGCCTTTGTACTTTCGGCCCTCGGCTGCCGGGGCTCGGGCCGGGGCGGCGGCGCGGGGCCCGGGAGCGGGGTGCCGGAGGGCGCGGGGCTGGGCCGAGTCCCGGGCGCCCCGAGGGGCCCCGCCCGACTCCGGGCCGAGGCCTGCGCCCGCGCGGGCTGGAGGCCTCGGCGCTGCGCCGCGCGCACGCTCGCGGGTGGCGGCCCGGCGCCGAGGTCGGGGTCCCGGCCCGCACAAGGGGCCCAGGGAAGCGAAAGGAGAGCGGACGCGGGCTCGGCGGCTGGTGGAGGAAGTCGCGCCTAAGTTTCGGGGAGGCTCCGCTCCTGGCTGCAGAGTCTGCCCTCCGCGGGCGCCGCCCCAGGTCTGCGGCCCCAGGTCTGCGGCCCCAGGGGTAGAGCGCACCCGCCGCGGGAGTTGCCGGGGGCGCGGAGGGCTCTCGCCCGAAGTCCCCCTTCGATCGGTCGGACTTATTTAACTTTTCTTTAAACATCAACTACGGTTTCTAGTAATTGTTTAGTTTCACGGGGAAAGACAGCCCCCATCCACGTACACAAAAAGCCCGGAGACGATCGGGTTTCCGAGCCCTGGCCTCGCCTCCGGACGCTTCCGAGCCGGCGAAGGAGGAAACCGAGCGGCGAGCGCGGCCGTCACGGGCAGGGGCGTCCCGCGAAGGCAGCCGCCAGGCCCCGCTCGCCCCCGCGCCCCCGAGCGTCGTCTTGGTTTAAACTACCGAGGAGAACGATCCCGACAGTGGAAGGCGATGCAGGCGTTTTTCCTGCAAATAACGAAAACGTGCCCACGATGCGGACCCAAGGAGCCGAACGATCTGTGCAAATGCTTGGAAAGTGCAAGTGGAGGAAAGTTCACCGCCGAGGGGTGGAGGTGTCGGCGGCTTCCGCTTCACGCATAGGCCGGATCGCTCGGCTCTGCCTCTGGGACCGAGCCGGCATGACTTGAGCCACCTGCTTGGGAGATTCGGAAGCCTTTTACGGGGGGCCAGAGGCCCACTGCGGTCACCATCTTCTGGGTGTTTTCCACGGAGGCCTTTTTGAAACGTCCCTTGCCCGGTTACACGAGGTGGCATTTCAAGCTTTGTGACATGTCAGTAAATTAAAGGGTTCAAAAATCTTTTATTAGGAGACACCCTCCTAAGCCTTCGCATACCTTGTGAGACTCACCTCCTTCGTAACTTGCTGGTTGGCATCTTAATAATCAAGTCCTCAAGTTGGGTTCAGACAGAAGGACCCTTACCTGCCTATCAGGACTGCAGAGCCCCTTGCAGCTCACAATGGTGGCAGTCCAAGAAGGCTCTGAGTGGCCAACCAGAGGTCCTGCTCCCCCACACCCAGTGCAAGGAAAACTCTTGGGGTCCATTTCCTTTCCCTGCCTGTGTTTCTGCATATGCGGGCCGTCATTTGTTTACTATTTCTTTGGGCCAGTTAGAACCGTCTTAACAGGCAATCCCTTAATTTTTAAGGATTATTTCAGCTTGGCAAAATGATTTAACAGTGACGTTTTTCTTAAAAATTAAAAAAAAAAAAAAATCAGCTCCAGTTTGTTTTTTAAGCCATGAATGGACCAGCCATTTCAAGAGAATTCCAGGCCATCCTAACAGATATTTTTTCATTGAAGAATAGCAAAATACTCACATTGGGAAGTTTTTAGCTGGGAAACTCGTATGCTTAGAAATCTCCCTTAATGCTTCAGGATAACAACACCATTAGTGTCATTTTTGGTTAACTTGGTAGTCTTGATCTGTTTGATGCATAACTTGTTCCTCCCCCCCATGCAACACTTTTTCTAGTAGTTGATTTTCATGAAAAGTTACTGTGATATTTAGTTTTATTTAGTTTTGTTTAAGATGTCATCAAGGCTCTCAGTGTACTTTTGTTTTTCCTGCAGAGGAGGAAAAGTCCAGGGTTTATTTTGAACAGTATAATTGTGTGCAGTTGAGTACTTACTCTGCACATTAATTTTCCCCCTCAGTTCCATTAATCTTCTGAACTATCCCTATAGATAGAATATTAGAATTAAAGGAAAGGGAAAATAGCCATAGTAAAAATATTTTGTCATTTTTTTTAATCACCTGCACTGAAAACAGAACGTCTCCCCGATGTGCACTGGAATGTCTCATCTTCGTCAGTGTAACAAGGAAAGACTAAGCAGAGTATCTTCTTTGTCCCTAAAAGCTGGCCCCAGAGTGAGAAAGCACTGTACCTCAGATCCTGCTCCTGGTGTCCTCACATTGCATGCCTTCCTTTGCGTGGCTTGTGAAGTGTGAAGGAGGTTGTTATGCCTTTGAGTGGAAATATACCTTAAAATTCATGTAGCACGTTGCTTCATTTTTATTTTTTCAAGTCCTACAAATATTCGGTGCTTCTGAAACATTCCAGCATTTTCCACTAAACCGACTTAAATGTTTATTTTCCAGAACTCAGTGTATAATTTAAATTGGCTTTCGTCTTGCTATTTAGACAGGCTTATTTCGCTTTCCTCAAGCCACTCTAATAATTAGCAGACATGAGCTGTAGAAAATGGGAAGGGACTCATGCTGGTGGCATGTACAGTGACGGGGTCTGGGCAGGTCGCTTGTGTCTGGTCATAAGCTCGTCCTGGTGACTCTGAGAAATAGGGATCTTTAGGTTCATCAGATGAAAATTAATTTCTGGGGGTATTGGCTGACACTTTAGTGAAAAAAGCTTAGCATTAAATAGTAGGCAATTCTGATTTGTGGAGAAAATTGAAAAATAGGCATGTCTGCAAGTAGCATGCAAAAATACCATTTCCAAAATAATGATCTGTCAGCGAAATTGGAAAATCATTATGCGAATGAGCTGAATTGCTTTGTGTATCATCTCATAGAAACATGTTTTGCACAGATAATATGTCTAATAAGGACACATTTTTAAAAGCTGATTTTTTTCTCCAGCAAATAGCTGCCCTGCAGCCCTCTCCAGCAGTAGGCTGGCACCACCTTGTGGATGATTCAGGAAACGCTGCTCTCCCTGTTAGGCTGTACTCAAAGGAGTGAAGTAGTTTAAGGTGGTGGTATTGGTGATGGGCCCACAGTGTCAACAGCAGGCCTAACCCTTTCCTCCCCTTCTTGTTTTTCAGGCTTCAGATGCCAGCTCTGAAAAGCTCTTCAACACTGTAATTGTGAACAAAGGTAAGGCTCCTTCATTCTTCTGAGTGGTGGCTTTTTTAACGTGAATCTCCTTGTTGTCCTCGTCTGGGAGGAAAGGAAAGGACACCAGTGTGGTCTTCTGCTTTTCCTTCTGAGCTGCTGTTCACGTTCTGTGCTTATGCTTGAGACAGATCTGAACGTTTATGATGCATTAAGAGTATCTTAAAAGAACACGCTGAGTCCTTGGGTGGGAGCCCACTGCTGCCCGTGTGACTGTGGCCTCCTGTGGGAAGCTGCAAGCGGGAAGGTCTCTCAGATGTCCTAGCTTGGCTGTGGCTTGCCAGCTCCCTAGCAGAGGGATTCAGTAGTCCCCTACAGTGCCCACTGCAGTGACCGACCCTTGGTGCTTAGTATTCACAGTGCTGCGGCCATAAACCAAGCCTTACTCTGCTGTGGGCTTTCTGTAAAGTTAATAAACGAGCCAAGAGGGCAGAATTTAAATATGCACTATCCCCATTAATTTCTTTCAGACCTCTATCTAGAGTAAGAGAGGCTAATGATATAGCAGTACATTAAGGGAGGACTTATCTTAAATCATTGCCAGTAGGCTTCTTGGCAGTTTTCATTTGTAGCAGTATTGTTGGAAATAATGAAATTTAGGGAAGTCTCTAATCATGGGCTTTGAAGGTGTGTAATTTGAAAGGTATAAATTATACAAACTATTTAGTCTTTGCTTTTCCACTATAGAACCTGATTTAGGGCCTTGCAGGATAATTGCTAAATAAAGAAGATGGTCTGCCTGTGATAATTTCTCTCTGTCACACCGGGGATCTTGGTAGCCCTGGATAAGAGTGGCTTCTCTTCAAGGGGACTGTGAGGCCATTTCAGCCTTCCGGGTGCCTTGGCTAGCATTTTTGTTAGCTGGTTAGTAAGACATTTCCAAGTGCAGTTATTTTGACTCCCAGATTATTTTGGAATTTGAACCAACTGCAATTTTAAATAGTACATTATGTTTAGCGTTCCCTTGAGGTGTGTGTGCTCATGTGATTGCTGTTACTCCTAGAATTACTGTCATATTGAATTTTATCTTTTTTATTGCGTAATAGAGTTCCAGTTTTATATTTCATCATATTTTTTGATGGACTGAAAGTTTGTATAAATTTGTTATCCATAATGCTAAAAGCCCAATAAAAGAAGATATGTGCAGTTCCTAGCAGACAGTGCTCATGCGTAAAAATACATAATTGTTTACTGCTCATTTTGATGAGGGAAGAGCTTGGGAAGACAGTGGGGTGTCCTGTGAGAACTCAGGGTACCAGAGGGAGACTGAGCAGGGGAGGGCACAGAAGAGGCTTCTGGGACTCCTGACCTGCCCAAACAGCCAGACAGGACTGAGTCTTTCTTTTGCTAATTTGCTATTAAAAGCTTTGGAATGTGTTTCCCCTTCCTGGGGCTGCCCTGAAGGCTCTGGCTCTGGGCTGGCCTTGGGCCTCCCTGGCCCTGAAAGACCCCTCAGGGTGATGGAGAGGGACTGAAGAGCTGCCCCCCTGCCCCCCCCCCCCCCAGTCAACCTTTCCCACATTCTTATTTTTGTTTACTTACAGAGTGTGATTTGTGGCATCTATTTGGTTGTGAATAGTCATCCCCTGACAGGGCCCTTTCTTCTGAGCTGCTTTTCTGGGGGTGATTTAGTCGCCTTGAAAGGATTAAGGTTTCTTTGTGTACTAAAATCAACATAGGCTTTTTCTAAGCTTTGCTTGGGAAACCATACACAAATAAGCATTTTAGTTGATGGCAGATTATTCCTTTGCCCCTTATTTCCATCAAAATGGCCTTTCTTTTCTCCTCCAGAGTTTCCCCTTAATGCCTTATGCTAATTCTTGTTGGTAACATGAATGACAAGAGCGGAATCAGTGCAAATCCAGGTGCTGCAAAGTAGACTGCCCGGTACCCGCACCCCTCCCTGGAGAGAAGGCATCGCAGGGGGAGGCCTGGGCAGTTTTGTTAAGGGGATTAGTATTCAAACTGCTAAATATCAGGAAAACAACTTCAAAAAGAGATTCATTGTGCAGCGATAATGTCAATAATTGCTTCAAGACAGGTGCAGAGTCTTGTTCTGTGCTTGGGTTTGGGTCTGTTTCTGCTCTGGGTAGTGCCGGTGTTTACTGGATGGATGGTTGACAGGGCCTCCAAGGAACTGTCAGCTCCCAGCACATCAAGTTCAAGTTCTCCTGCAGAACAGCCTGCCTGCCTGAGAGTTAGGTTTGCTGTCTCTGTCCGGTGTCTTTAGCCAAGAGCAATAAAAAGCCTTGCAAGAAAGGGCAAATCTACACCAGGTAACAAACACTGCTGGGAAAACCTTCAAGGCCTCAGCGTGCTGAGCAGTCTAAGGACAGTGTGGGGGAGCTGACACCATGTCCCTCCATCTGGAGACTCTCCCTCTCAGAAGCCTGGCAGTATTCTGGCCTGAGAGGAGCGTGGCTTTAAGCTCTTGGTGAGGTTATGCTGGCAGAGTCAGTCCATAAAATTTCCCTGCAGGAGGGCAGTGCTAATCTCACCAGCTGATTGTAGGGAGGAGGCTTTGACATTGGGCTTTACAGTGCTGGAGAGGATGCTCTGAGCTGAACAAGACTGGGGCTCAGGTCCTGCCTGTCTGCTCCTGAGCCTGAACCGGTCATTCAGCCCCTGTTGGCCAGGATTGCCAGTCATGGTGAAATCAGCCCTGGCCAGCATCTCTGGTGGGAACAAAACACTAACTGGAAAGGGCTGAAACAAGGGCTCAGGGAATGTGTTTTCTACAACTTGTCCGAGGACTTTGTTTTGACTCCCATATTGTAGAGTCCATTCGAGGCAATGGAGAACCAGTCAGAGCTTTCCTTCCAGGTGTTCCAAACATGGCTTCCATGAATGCCTTGTATTTCCTGTTTGGAAAGAAGCTAACCAAGCAGCACGTGGTTACATGTGCGCACAACACGCAATGCAGCGCGAGGCAGGGTGGAGTTGGGCCTCTGCATTGTAGGGATTCATGCTGTAGACATAAAAAATAGTTTAATCAAGGTCATGGTTGCCTTATTTAATCTTTATGTGTTTAAATGTTTACAGGATGTTCATGTGAATTTTATGAATCCTTCTGTCTTTGTTACTCAACCATCTGCCAAAGAAAAAATTAATTTTCCCACTGAGACAGAAACAGAGAAACTGACTTACTGTCCCTGTTTAGCAGGACAAACTGCCCTAAGAGCAGCAGGATGCGCACCCCAGTTTGTGGAGCTTTCATTCCTAGAGGGACTGGCCAGTGCTACTGCCCCTTCTCAGGTGCTCCTCCCTGTGGCCTTGCCACTTTGATGTGTAGTTAAGAGCAGGAAGGAGGCTCTGGCTGCTTGCAGTCACACTCATCCTGCTGGGTGATGAGTCTCTTCTCCAGTTCCTGGTGACTGAGAGCAGAGCCCCAAGGAGGGAACAGAAGGAAGCCTTCATGGGAGGTGGGAGGAGGAGCAGCAAGTGGTCAGGTGTTGTGGAGCCTTCTGTTCTCTGGATTCCAGCCCTGAGGGGGGCCCAAGATCCACACTGGGAGGAGGAAGGCCCTGAGCCACCTCCCTTCCTGACTCCTCCCAGGACTGATCAGCAAGCTAGGCAAGCCAGACATGGACCCTGCGACTTTCTCACCCCTTCTTTCCTCCACCTTTGTCTCAGGTTGTAGAGTTGGACCCTCCTGGGCAAAGGCCCTGAGCCAGCAGGGAGGGAGCTGTGCCCAGCTAATGGGCATCTCTGGGGGGCTGGAGTGGGAAATAGTCCAGCTGGGAAGGGGTCCTGAGTTCTGCTCCCTCCTGCCGTGAGCACCCTCCTGGGCAGGACCCACCACACCCGGTCAGATCAGCCCTGGGGAGTCCGAGTGGGTGCTGCGTCTCCATGATGAGCACCACCTGGAGCTGGATCTGACTCTGCCAAGGCCTGACCATACCTCGTAGTGGACCGTGCCCAGCCTCCTGGGCTGACTCTGTGCTGAGGGTTTCTCAGGGGACTCAGATGAGATGGAGCCCCAGGTTAGGCGTGTCCTTTGCGTGTTTGGTCGTATGGCTTATCAGCATCTTGGAAAGAAGGTCTGACTGAAAAATAGCCTGAGTTCTGAGGAAAGAGGCGAGAAACAGGTTACCCAGAAATAGTGCTGGCTCAGAAACTAGGCGCCTGTGCATCCCTAATGGCTGTGACACCATTTCGTAAGGTTTAGACATGAGGGAATTCCTTGGTTTCTCAACAAAAAATGGTTAAGAGTTCCATTACCACCAGAGCCACCATTGGCTTTGAGGAAAGTCCCTCCCCTTGGAACGATTCCAAGTGCATGGAGATACTGCTGTGGACTGTGGGCTGGCTTTCTAAGAAAACAGATGGTTTAGACTGGAGTCCACATATAAAGAACACAAGGGGAACGTTTCCGGTCCTCGTGGTGGCCAGGTACAGGTAGGCATGCAGGACGAGGTACAAGGGCCTTCCCGTGTGCGCAGGAGTGGACAGGCCAGCCTCAGCTCTATGCACTAGCTGAGCTTTTGTCACCTCTTAGATCCCAGCTAAGGGGACGTTGGAGCATCACTTGTCTTGATTTTTCTCCCCCTGGACCTTTTCTGTGCTGTTGGAGCGTGTTCCCTGGGGTTTTTAGGAGAGGGAGATGTCTGGTGTGTGGAGAATTAAATGGTGCTGAAGGGTAGTTGGTGCCTGGTGGGAGACAAAGTCCTGAGCGCCTCCTCCCCCTGGAACTGCAAGTAGCGCCATCAGCCCCTTTTGTCACAGAAACTGACCTTCCCTTGGAAGCAGCCTCTAGAAAGAAGCTGCTGTGTGGAGTTCTTCTTTGAAAATTCTTGGAAACAGATACTTTGTTCTGTTGGTGTGAAGCCTCCAGTAAGAGCCCAGAACTACTCCATGTTGTGACGAATGTCTCTCTCGACCTGTGTCCCATGGTTGCCGCTGGTCCTCCTGCAGAAGGCCTGCTGCGTGTGCAGGGCCTGGGTAGAGCAGGCTCCCAGCGCTGCTCTTCTGGCAGAGGTGGA